TTAAGGACAAAACAATTTGATGAAAAATCTTTATTACCACCGAATGCAGTATTCGAAAAAGCAATGATTTATCTTGATTTGAAACAAAAACAAAAAGCGAATGAATATTTACAAAAATCAATGTAAGAAGATTTTTTTTTTTATCATCAGTTATTTCTTTTTTTATTTTTAATCTTATTAGAAATGATTATAAAGATTATCAACTTGAGTCTCGTCTTCATTTTCGTATAAATGCAGCAATGCAGACAGTGAAACAAATGGATAATGATTTAAATAAAAAAACTATTTTCATAAATAAAAAAAGTAATGACACATATTTGTGATATTTGTTTTTTTAGTGGTTTGTTTTTATTTCTTGTTTTTTCGTGATCATGTTTCCAAATTCGTTTTGTTTGTTTTTTTTTCTGGTCATCCTGTCCGGTGCGTCAAATGTTTATTAATAAAAAAAACTATATTTATTCTTTCTAGTTTTTTTTCACATCGATTCTTTTAAGTATAATCATACTGAATATTTGGATTTCGAGACATATGCAAGATTTTATATTGAAATCATGCGAATCGAGTTAAAGAAACGGGGTTCTATAATTATTTATTAGTGATATTCAGTGTTATAGGAACATTTTCGAAGTTAATGAATCAAGAAGATAATGTGATTCTCATGAAAATTCATTTTGAAGCAACAATAAAGAAACAATTGAATATTTCAATTAAATATAGTTATGATTTCAAATAGATCGATATGATGAATAAGGTTCATTTTTGTTTAACGGTTCGTTAATTTTGTTCGATTGCGTACTGAAAATAACATTAGATACATAATTTGTCCATGTGTCTGTCATTGCATAAATATTTATCAAAGATTGAGTTAGAAATAAAGAATTGTATATTGGATAAAAATATTTTATATGTATACAAGGTTAATATTTGAATACAACTCATTTGACATATTCCATATGGATAATGTATATTTCATATGAAGATAAAACGGAATTCAAGTGATATTAGGATAATCACAATGATTTCAGATACGTACCAGCTTCTTTGAGTAATGAATTAATATTGTCATGAAAATCGGTTTTATCATGATCGTCTTTCTTATTATTTATACATTACCTGATATTGATATCATAAAAACAAATTAATTTCTTTTTAAAGTATTTATTCATCTAATAAAACGAAAATTTAAATTGATCAGTGAAATTTCTTTTCCATTTGGAAAATCCTCATCTATTTAAAGCTTCATAAAGAATTCAATACTCTTTGTTATATTATATATGTATGAGCAACAGTATACTCGAGTATTATGCTTAGATTAAATAACAGATATTAGATAGCTGCAGTAAAAAAATATGCCTATCGAATATTATTTTGGAATTGGATATGTTCGACATACATAAATATTGAATTTCCATTTTCTTGTTTTGAATACATTTATTGTTGGTTTTATGAAATTACTAAATTTTGTTTTAAACTTTTAGATTCTTCTTTATTTATTTTTTTATTTAATTTATCTATTTCTTGTTGAATAATTGGTCAAAAAAATGTTATCGCTTGAGATAACAATCAAATATTTATTTCCTTTTTTTTTTGGATAACTAGAAAAATACCTTTAATTATGATATTTAATCAAGGAATTGATTATTTGTTGACATTACTTGAGAGTTTAAATTTTGATTTAATCTATTTGGCATGGTTATGGACATTATTTAAACCCTTATGTCTTTTACTGTTATCATTATTTCTTTTGCCAGCAGCTATACTCTTATTTGTATATGGTTCCTCATTATTTTGTTTAATCTATAAACATTGGAATCGATTAAAAGTAGGTGAGGTTTTCTACTAATGAATGATTAAATAATATTTGTTTTCTTTCTAATTATTTCAAAGACTGCATATTCAGATGATCTGTGGTATGGTGCATTAAAAACATTGGCTATCTTATGGGAATTACAAGGAAATATATGGCATGGTAAGATAGGGTATACAATTATTAGGCGACATCAATTGGTCACAATGCTAAAAAATAAAATCGGCAAAAGAATAATTCTTAGCATTATGAAGAAATAACTCAGAGTTGTTTAGAAAATAACTAACAATCTATTCAAGAACAAGACACATTAGATATAAGTATAAATACGAATGTTTAGTGAACTCCTTTGATTGAGTAAGTAGTAGTTTCTTTAAAAATTTACTCTAATCCTCTATAATTTGTCGTGACTGTTGGGTTTTTGTGTGCTGTGATTTTTGCTTTTCGACAATGAATACTGTTTTTGTCTTTTCGTAACATTTTGATAAATTCAAAATGTGAATGTTATCATTTTGCGTTTCCATTTACCAGGGAAGTTATCTATGAATTCATTACATGTAGAATAAATCTTCATTTTTTCGATGTCATCCTCATCTTCACGCAGTGATGTATATGATTGAACCCAATGTCTGCAAATCAGAGCCGTAACCGATCAGACCTCAAGTGATGCAATCTCAGAGTAGGGTACAGATTTCTAGAGGCACAAACTTCATTTTTAACAGTATAATGTATAAAAAATTTGAAAATATCTGTTTTTTAATGTGGCTGTTTGACAGAAATATCTTTGACCACTTAGTTGATTGGTCATTCGGTCAAACTATCAGTGATGTGTTAGAATAATGGAAACCCACGGATTGAGTATCCTAACCCGTACAGAATTTGGATAAGAGTATGAAAAGTTCTACCCGTGCAGTACTCTAGTCTAGTCTAGTTGGCATAACCAAAACTCGACAAGCTTGGCTTACATTCAAGATCGTAGGATACTACCCTACCACTCACGATATTTTGATTACGTCAATATTTCTGTCCGGCCGAACTGTTCTAATTGGAATTTATGGAACAGTTGATCTTCACTGCTTGGAAAATATTTGATAAATATGGCAATTTTCTCTGATAAAACTTGTCGAGAGTAAGTTTGCTTTCTCTTATCAAAATAATTAAACAATGTTGTTGTTTCAAGGACTATCAATTTTATTTCTTTAAAAGAAGCAGATGTTTTTTTTTTAAAGCACAATCAAAACTGTTTTACTTAAGCTAAATATATATCATATATATATATTGATAAAGATCAAATTTAGCTTTAGGTCGTTGCTAGAAGAAAAACATTAGATTTATCTCCAAATACTAAGAGAGAAAATTCAAGATTCGAAATGTAGCAATCAATTTATCGATAAATGACTGTTTTTTCCGCGCTATATTAGCAATATTATACATTCATCTTTAAGAAATCCGAACAGATATAAATGACTATAATATGACGTTTATTCCTTGAGATTTGTGAAAACCTAAGTATATTGAATTGAATCACTTGAAAAATTCTTGATCGGCTACAACTCTGTTGATAATGCATGTTTACGAGAAGTCAAGTAAGAATTACACTTTTGTCAAATATGCCAGCGACTCTACATTACAATTAATTATCGCTTTCTCAATAAGATAGTAATAAAATATTAATATCTGATATATGAGACAAATTAAATCATTCGAATCATTATTCAAAGTCCTGATTAATCATTTTCTATGTTATTTGTGTTTGTCTTAATTTATAGGTTATGAAGTCGAAGGATTAGAACATATTCCTACAAAAGGACCAGTTCTTATTGTTTTTTATCATGGAGCATTACCAATTGATTTCTATTATTTATTTGCTAAAGTTTGGCTTTATCGTAATCGACGTGTACGTGTTGTTGCAGATAAATTTGTATTTAAAATACCTGGTATAATATTTATCTATTCAGTAAAATCTATATATTTTTTTTTTTGAATTAAATTATTTTCTTAAGGTCTTGGTACTCTTCTTGAAGCATTAGGAAGTCAACCAGCAACATCAGGAATATGCAAATCAATGCTTGAAGAAGGTCATGTACTTGCTATTTCACCTGGTAATTTGAAATATTCAAAAGAATTTTCATAGATGTTATTTTTTGTTTGAGGTGGTGTTCGTGAAGCTCTTTTCAGTGATCATAATTATCGTCTAATATGGAAAGAAAGACGAGGCTTTGCAAAAGTTGCAATTGAATCTAAAGCTGTAAATAGAACATTTGTTTTTTGAATTTATTTTATATGAACTTTTGGTTATTTTTTTTCAGACAATCATTCCAATGTTTACGAAAAATTGTCGAGAAGCTGCACGTGCTTTGACAGTCGGCCGTCGTAAGTTATTCTTTTAGATAGAATAAAATATTTCTATGCTCTTTTATTAGGTGTTTTAAGATATATTTATGAAAAAACTCGATTACCAATTGTTCCAATCTATGGAATATTTCCAGTTAAACTTATGTAAATATGAATAAAATTTTACATATGAATATTAATTTATTTGTTTAGTACTTATCTTGGAGAACCTATTCCATATGATCCTGATGTAACAACAGAAATTCTTGCTGTCCAAGTAAATATTAATTTATGAAATAGAAAAATATTTTTGAATGAATTCGTTTTTGTTTTTGAGGTGAAAAAAGAAATTGAAAAATTAATCGAAATTCATCAACGACGACCTGGTAGTATAACGCAAGCTATTCTCGATCGATTTAGCTGGTTTCCAATGAAACGAATGAAAACGAAGATTGAATAAAATCAAACAGAACGTTTATAAAAAAATTTGTTTTTTTTAACAAATTTTTTTCCTATTCTGTGTTTGTATGGTGCAAGGTAAAAGTATTGGTGATGAAGTTTTCTTGTTTGTTTGTTGTGGTTCTGTGATATTCGTTGTGTTAAGCACAATATCTTCTCATCTTTTGTCATACATGAATAATCTTCCATTCGAGATGAAAAGATGATTGTTTAGTATTTTGTTCTTTATTCATTTTACAAAACAAAGAAACTTCACCAACTAATAGTCTTCTTTTTATTTATTAGCTTTGCATTGAAAGAAAAAATTGATTATTCTATCAAATTGCACAGTTTGTAAGATTAAAGAATCGCGTCTATGTTTTTTAATTTTTAGGAAGTTATATTATTCTTTAATTATTAATTACAAAGAATGAATATCAATAGTTAAATTTGGATGAGTAATGGGTATAAGCCCTAGTGTAACTAAATAGGAAATAAATGTTGCTGTAAAGTAAATATAAAAGAATAAACGATCGATGACAAGACCAATAGCAAGCCATTGAAGACGAAAATAAAATATACTATTTGTATTTGTTGACATATTATCTCGTTCACATGTTTTTTTAAGAAGTAAATCTATTAAATTTTCATCAAAAGCTTTATATTGATCTTTTTGATGATTATGATAATAAAGAATATTTCCAATTAAACTGCTTGAATTATTTTCATTCGATTCAATAAGACATAATATTGGTTTTTTTGGATTATTTTTATGTTTTGATGAAATTAGCACCGAATGTTTATTGTTAGGATTTTTTGTTAATTTTCTTTGTTCATGTTGTTTTGGTAACCATAAAGAATTATTCGTTGTTACTGTTGAATGTGAACGAGTATAATGTGATGAATTTGATTGTTCATGTGCATATAGTAATACTTGTTGCAAAAGTAAATTTTCAACTATATTTTCATAATTAATATGAAGTTCATTTTGATTTGTTGATAATGGTAATGAATTTGATTCACATAAAAGATCATATGATCTAAATGATTTTTCCTAAAATAAGAAACAAAAAAAATTTTTAGATTTCTCAACAATTATAAAACATAAATGATAAGAATTTATTAGAAAAAAATTTTATTTTCATCTTTATTTGATTTGATACTTATTGTGTTAATGATAATGTATGGCAATAAATGACAAATACCTTTTTTTTTCATTATATAATGATAGGATATCAAACACATATCATATTTGTCACTTGTTCTCTAACAGTACTATTAATTAAAAAATTAATAGTTTACAAATACGAAAAAATTTGTATTTAAATATTTTATACAAAATGAAATACAAACAAAATTTTTCATTTGTCAATTTTTTTGCATTCGAATTTAACTCATTTAAATAAATTGGATGATTTTCTAACTATCAAAACGTAAAAAACAAATGGATCTTAAAATCTACAAAATTTTTGTTTAAACATGCTAATCAATTAAGTCTATATGAACTTTAGCAAGTTCTAGGAAGTACTGGTGTTTGTGGGCGAATTGGTATTATTATATTGTTCTCTGAAACACTTTTATCTACACAAAGTGCAATTGCTCGACCAGCGAAAATAGCTGATAATATACTAGTTATAACATTTATTAATGAAACTGTTAATTGTGTACCAGCGAGTCCATATGAAACTGATTCATATGTTGTACGATTACTTGGTTTATCTAATCTATTTGATCGATAAAATGAAACAATAAATGCAAAATAAACAATTAAATAAATAGCAAATAATGCTGATGCAACATTCATTGTCAAAAATCCAAGAATTGATGTATAAGTTTCTCTGAAACCAGCTAATGTGTCGACCAGACCAGTTAAAAATGTAAAAAGACAAAATAGATTAGACGGTATGTCCATGGCCACTAATGATTATAATAATTTGTCATGTCATAAAGACTAGCAGTTATATTACCGCTTAGATCTACACTTATTGCACCATTATAGACATGTGGAAATTCAAGAAATTGTGTGAGCATACCAATAATTACTAAGAAAAATCCGAATAGAAGACCAAACGAACCCCAATTATTCCATGATGAATTACGAGTTATTCTTACATTTGCATACATTCTAACTTTATCAATATACTGTCTTTTTTTATCTAACAGCAAATGCCTGGACGATGGCAAACGTAATTAGGAATAACATTCTTTAATTGACATTATATTAACGCTCTATTGATTTTTTTTCTCACATAACAAAAAATGACACCTGATAGTCGAAATCTATTTGTGCACCTGTTTACTCTTGCATACAACTTTCATGCAAATAAAGAATATTCTCTTACTTTCTGCTCAAGAACAGTTTTAACCGTGTCGTACATACGAAGAATAGATGACAGATATGTAAGTGCAAATTTAATTAACCATTGTGGTGCACGATGTTTTTGATTTGTGCACATTGCTGCATGTTGATAAACATTAGCAACGATCACAGCCATTATTACCGATATTGACTAATGAAAAGTTTTAATATTGTATATTTCTATATGTATATCATAACTTACTGTTAAGCTCATAACAATTGTTAAATAGATTCCTAAGAATGGACAAAAAAAAAAGGAAAAAATAAATTTATATTTTAATATTAAATACATTTACCTATTATGGGTACCGTATCTGATGTAGCAGGAACTTTTTCAGCAACCATTAGCATAAAAACAGAAAATGCAACAAAACAAGTTAAACCAAGAGTTACTTTTTCACCAGATGATGTCGGTAACCTATAAATAATTTTAATTAAATATTTTATTGAACTAAAAAATAAAGCAAATTTTTTACTTACCAAAAAGACATACAAGTTAAACATGAAAGCATGGCACATGGAATTATCACATTGAATATATAATATAATGGACGACGACGAATATGAACACCATAAACTAACTCTCCGTATGTTTTATTATTTTTTGTTCTAGGATAAAAATAAATTTTGCACATAAAATCATTTAATATCTATCGAAGATATAACAAATCTTATATTAACTATACAAGAATCAAAAGTTATACTTTTTCTAAATAGAAAAAAACAAAGCTATTGGATCAAACTCCTTTTATCTTTGGCTTTCTGTAGTCTCGTTTGTGTAACAAATGTGTCAGAATAAATGAGCATTTCAATATTATTTCTATGTTTCTGCCAATCTTAATAGTTACGGATTAATTTTTACTTTATGAGACTCAGCCTCCAATTCTCTACAAATGTGTATCATAAACAACTTTCTAGCATTTGTATTAATGCATTCTCACATTGAGATATAGAAAAGTAAAACGTACCTTTATTGCAGTCTTTGAAAAGCTCTAGAATATTAGTACGCTCACAAATTTTTACAACAAATCTCTAACGCACAAGATAAGCTTTGTTTTTTTTTAGATTTTCACAAAAAAACCGTTTTAAGTACGGCAGTGTTTCATATTCTTAAAAAATTTAAATAACTCAGCCATAAATTCTTTTTTTCAAAGTTAAATTTGTTTTTATTCAAAAGCTATTGAAGAAGAACATTCTTATCTTTCGGCTGTCTGGCAACAGATTTAATTGCTTGACATTTTCCCTACATCTAATATTAGCTGTATCTTTGAACAAAAAGCCAGCCTGGTGCAGAATTCTTGCACTCAATCTTTCGAACTTTCGGTAGACACTAACAAACCATATGCTAACTATAGGAGTACGTGTATATCCTAACATAGTCAGCATGCTATCGAACGGGTGATTCGAAGTAAGCAGTTGTTAATGACTTTTCAGTGTCATTTCATAACTGGCGGTACTGAGATTTGAACATAGTACCGTATGAATACATGTCAAACAGTGCAGCTACTTACGGATGAAGATCAAAACTACTGAGTCATGCTATAGAAGTCTATTTGAGTTCGAATAAATGCTTTTTTCTCTCGATCAGAATCAAACAACAAAGAGCTGATACGGTAGATTTGGACCTGTTATGCAAACATTAGACTTTTTATCAGTATTTTAGGTTGATACGTTCTTTTGTATGTGTCATTAAATGAAGCGCACTTGATTATATCTAAGGTGGTCTTTTGAAGCTCTTAAACAGTGTTTCATTAGTGAGAAGTTGTTTTCTTTTTCTTCTATGATACACATTTGTCGAAAATTGAATGGTGAGTCTTTTAAGACGAAACCTAGACTGTGACTACGGAAATTGACAGAGATATTGAGAAAATACTTAGAGGCTCATTTATTCAGACGCATCTTCGTTACAATAATACTAACTAAACGATTAAAAAACTGAATATTTTTTAATATTCATTCAACTGAAAAAAACACTAACTAATTTATGAATGATTTGTATTCCTCTAAATTAGTGTCCGATAACTGATCGAATACTGACACCGCCCCGGTGATGAATGAAATGTCAATCTTCCAATGTATTTTTACTTTTTCAAGCTGATAAGCTATATAAAAACATAAAAGTGAAAACTTGATCAATTTATTGTACTTTAGAACAAGTCACATAAATGGAAAACGTTTTTGTTTTACTCAAAGAATTCGTTTGTAATGAAAATTTATCTGTAGATGATGAGAAACCATATGACGAAGTAACTGAATACATTGAAAGAAAAATAAATTACTAAAAAGGTGAACATGTACTATTACGATGAAAAAATTATTCGTGTATTTATGCATAGTGATGACATTAACCACCAATATTGAATGCCATTCTAGTGTCATCAGCAATAATCAAACATATACTTAGCAAAAATCGATCGAATTTTAGAAGCAGAAAGATAGCAAGTCAATCTTGAATCACTTGTTTTTTTGTGGAAGTTGGCATGATCCCTTTTTCCTGATTGCTGTCTACGGAGGACAGTAAGTAGTATACTTTCTCATATACAATAAAAGTTTAAAAACTGTACTGTAACTATGAAAGTATCTATCAGATGTCGATTAGCTCTAGTTATGTGTCTATTACAATCATACAAGGTTCAGTTCATTTCGAGTTCGGGTACAAAAGAAAGTAACACACCGTATCTGATCATGATAAATTATACTCGCACAAGACACTACTTTAAATAAAAACTTCCAAGTATTTACCGCCATACAAGACCTTCTTTAATAGCAAGTATAGTCCAACCACTATTTCGTATACCGTCCGATTCTTGTTGAACATTTACATTTGGAACAAGTACATAATTAATCGATGATATATCATATATCCATGATGCAAATTTTAGACCACATATTTGTCGATCAAATGGAAAATATTGAATATTTACTTTACATGATGTACGTAATTTCATTAATACAGGAAAAACAACTTCACCTGTATGATAAACCATTACATAAGGTCCTAGAAAATGAAACATTAGAAAAAGAAAACAATTTGAAATGAATCTTAAATAATACCATTGATAACACCTTGTGTTGGTGTATCACTTGAAAGATCAAATGCTGCATTATAAATATAACTATCAGGTAACCAAATATGATGTGATGGTAAACGTATACCACGTATACCATCATATTCTGATTGATTCCAACCAAGATTTTCATCTTTCCATTTTTGTTCAATACGTACATTTGTTGTTAATACTTGCGTTTTTTCTTCCTAAGAAAAATCAAGTACAAAAAATAAAATAAAATATTCATATTGAATATTACAAGTTCAAATAATTGAGTAAGTTCCATTCGAAATGAAATATTTACTATAGATTGAGCATTAATAACTGGTCTTACACTTGGTTCATAATATTGTAACATTTTTCTCATAAGTTGTTGCTCTGTCGTACATTCTATTCATATTAAATAGTTTCAATAGATCATATGTGGAGAAACAGAAAAACAATACTTACCGACATGAGGTAAAATCAATATAAACAACAAAAATAATAATAATAATACGAAAGTTTCACTCATGTAATTACATTTGATCAATGATGATGAGCATGTTGTAAAATATTCTTGATTGAAAAGAATCTAATGTTGTTCTTGTCCTTAGAGAACAATAGTATCGTATCTGAAAAGGACTCAGAAACCTCCTTCTTTTTTTTCTCTTGTCATCTCTTTGTATTTTTTCAGTTCCTAAGAAAGAACGACTATTTGTCGTTGTTTTTTTTTCTTTTTTCAATTCCAAGCATCATCATCATTCGTCATTTAGTATTAAACTACGATTCGTCGATTCTATTATATATCTTTTTTGCTTTTCTCGATCAATACTCGGTAAAAACTGAATAGATGAAGATATGAACATCTGGTTTTAGCTCGCGGGAAAATTCCAATGAAGTGGAAATAAGAATTAGAAAAATTTATCAATTACACTATTATCAATCTTGTTTATTGTAGTTTTATTATAACGAATAGAAAAAGGAAAAAAAATAAGAGTGAATAACTTGTCGTTTTTTTTTCAATCATTTGCTATTCTTAACACTTTATGATGACACGTAATATGGATGACACTTTCATTAAATATATTGAAGAGTACCCATCGATGATGAGTATATAAGGCAAAGAAATGATGACATAGACGCAAAGAGAACATTTCTCGACTCTTTTGAGTATAAAATGCAAACAAGAAAAGAATAAATCTCCACTATCTTTAGTGTTTGTACTCAGCCTGCTTGGCATTTATAAAAGTCATACTAATGAAAAAATATGCATATCAATAATTGAGTTTTTTATTGATGCTAACGTATTAAACAAAGAATCTCTACCGATTGCAATCATTTGTTTGTTTGAATTAAATCGATATTATTCTAGATATTCGATATGATGACTATTCTAAATATAAATTTCTTTGATTATCGTTTTCAATCGAAGATAGTTAATTTTCGATACAGCTTTAAGAAAAAAAATCAATTGTTCTCAAAATCTTCAAACTAGATTTATCTCAATAAATCTTATACGAAGAACTAATTCATAATTAGTGATATATTTTTGAATTTGTTGAAATATCATGTCATTCATTCCTAGCGATGTTCTAACCAAGACTCTTTAATTGTTTATTTTTCATTATTTAACTATTAATAATCTTCATTTCAAAAAATAAAAAGCCGTAAGTGTTTGTTTTTGGAATAAGTTCTGAAAGAAATATAATAGAGACCTGATATTTTCACATTTG